ATATAATCACCCACAATTTATTGACACTATGCACCTCCCCTTGGGTAACTAGCATAAAAACGCCAATAGGTGGCAGTAAATAGCAGTATATGGGCGAACTAGAAAAAACAAATGCAGATGGCCTGACTTTTGCAGTCAAAACAACTGTTTGGAGATAAACGATTTGCTTTTCTTCTCATGAGAATATCCTAACAAAAGGAACCTCCGGTTTCTGCTTCTTCTGCCAGTATCACGGCCAGCCTTTTGGAACAGAAGCTGCCCAGAGGGGAAGCTGCAGTGGTGAGACAAGGAAGCAGGGGTCTTCCAAGCACGGACCAACAAATGGAGGGAAGCTTCTCAGATCCATGTATATACATGAAGATACTGATGTGTGGATGTATTTATGCATGTGTGTGGGGGGGGGTTGTGCGTGTATGCGTGCACATATACATGCATGCGCAAGTATTCTACAAAACCTTGACACCTCTGCACAAACTGCGTGCTTTAGAAGACCAGATAACCCTGTGACCCATTGGGTCATTGTTTGAGAGAGAGGTAGTGCAGTCTGATGTGACCAGAATGAACATTAAATTTTAGGCTGACTTTTTTTTTTTTTACTCCAATGCTAGATGGTCTTGTGTTCATCTAAGAAGAGTATATATTGTAAATAGAAAAATTATTGTAGTGGCAAACAAACTTCAATAATAAGTCAATATTTACTTACCTAAATAGATAAACAGAATGACCATGGGCAGACAAAAAAGCAGTGGGAGCGGGAGCAATTTCCAACTTCCTGCCGGCTTCACCATTGACTTTGCAAGCTGGTTGCCAAGTGCCCGAAATGTGACCATGAGAGGGAGGGAGGGCAGGATGTTTTATGACAGTCAAAGTGCTTTACAGGCTATAAAGCACCCTTTCCAAGGCTGTTGTAGCTTTGAACCATCATTAAGTGAACGGCCGTTACTACTACAGCAAGGACCACCTGTAGTAGTAATTTCTTTGTTGTTAGAGAGTTGGGCAGCATATAAGTTTAATAAAGTGTTGTTACTGAAGTACAGTTTGGTGTAGTCTAGAAATCAGGAGACTGAGTGCTAGCCCTCCCTTAGGCATGAAAGCTGGCTGGGTGACTTTGGGCCAGTCATTCTCTCTCAGCCCAACCCATCTCACAGGGTTGTTGTGAGTGTTGGAAAGTAATTATCAGAAAACTAAACCAACTCCATTTCAGAAATTAGTGCTTTGCTATTACACAAAAGTGAAAAGATCACACAGGCAGATAAGGAAGAAATGAGAAGACATTGTTATGCTTCTAGCAACAGAGATAAGATGTGCCAATTACAAAGTGAGAAATCAGGCTATTCCTTATTAGGAAAGTTAAGCTTGAGAATTCTAGAATTAGGCATGCACAAATTAGTTATTTGTACATAATCATAAAAGAACGCTGCACACCTTGCCAGGGGTCCAGGCTGCACTCAATGCTTTTGTGTTGTGTGCTTGCCTTCTGTGATAATAAACTTTTGATTATTTATTATTAATATTAATTACAGCATTTGGTGTTTTGACCTGAGCAAATCATAGGAAAGTAATTCATTCAACATGGGGAAAATAGGAAGCCGGAGTATAGGGTATGTTCACTTCCTTGAGTTATATATAAAAAGGTGGGATAAAAATGTAACAATAACAACACATCATAACTGGGGCTTCTTGATCCAGGAACTATGCATTCAAATTTGCAGGAGTTATGTTTAACTACATACATAGTTGAATGAACTTCTGTTCACTTTGGGAACACACAATTTAACCAGAGGTGCCTAAATTTTTACGTTACTAAACATGCAAAATTATTCAACTGTTACCCTTTAAGTAGGCGGGCCTTCTCTGCTGTGGTGCCTGCCTTGTGGAATCTTCTCCCCCCAGAAGTGAGATTAGCTCCATCCCTCTTAACATTCCCCAAGTCCCTCAAGACCCAGGTATATGATCAGGCCTGGGGGTCCCAGGGGACCTGGGAGATTTTGCGATGGCTCCCTTATTAATTTTATCCCCTTCTGTTTTGTGTGTTTTTACAGTTTTTTATCTGTAATTGTTTTTATGTATTTATTCTTTTTAATTGTTGTATGCTGCCCAGAGTCACCTTGCGTGAGATGGGCGGCTATATAAATACGATAAATAAATATTTTATACTCCCATTTCTGTGCTTACTATTTCCTTACAAACTTCAGCAAGGGTACGAATGCTCTTCGAAATAAATATTAAGCTGAGCGAAGGCAAGAAACGCAACTCCCTGGGAAGAAAAGGCCTTAAGCGGCGCCGATTTCAGGTAGCAGAAGATGCTCGAGAAAAGCCTCCCCCTCAATCCTGACTTGAGCACAGCAGGACCCCGACAGTCGTGAGCGAGCCGACCCGCTCTGCTTTCCACGAGGGACCGGAGGCAAAGAGACCAGGTTCGAAGCCAACTTTTTAAAAAGGGTCTGTGGCCGCAAAGCCAAAAGGTCGATGATGGTGGTGATGATGATGGAGAAGGATAACAACGGCTGCCGCCAGGCTCCCCGCGCGCCTTTAGAATACTGGCGACTCGCGAGGAGGCGGTTAG